TCTTTCCCTCTTTTATGGTGTCCTGTGATGATACTTCACTATGGTTTTAAAATTCATTATAATGTAGTCAAATTTAGCGAACTTGACCCTTAAGTTACAAGATTTTGTTGTTGAGAACTCCTACCTAGTAACAAGATCTTAAAGATATTTTTTTCTGTGTATTTTCTTCTAGATTTTAAAGTTTTGCTCTTCACACTTAGGTTTTTAATCTGATTTTTGCCTATGGTAGAAATCCAATCAGTAATGTGCTTTCCAGTGGTCGGAGGGAGCATGGAAATAACCCTGATATGTAGCATTTGCTGATTTCTATCATATAAATACACTTTTTATTTGTTATTTGTACACCATGGCTGATTTCCATCTACCAATGGTTTAACAATTCTTGACTATTTAGCAACTGGTAAATTCTTGACTATTTAGCAACTGATCAGTTTGATTAAGCACCGGTATACCACTAGGTCCAATTGTATTTTAGTTTTTCTTATAGATAACCAATTGTTCTACTATGAATTAGAGAATAATATATTCTCTCTCTCATCTGTAATACCATTGCTGTCATATAGCACATTTCCATATACACGAGTTTGTTTCCGAACTCTGTTTTGTTTTATGGGTTGAATTATCGATCTTTGTATCTCTAATACATGGTTTTAATTATAGTCACTTTAAAATCTTGATATCTGGAAGGGTGAGTTTCTATGCCTTATTCTTTTCTTCAACTTGTTTGTCTATTCTAGGTTCTTTGTTCTTCTCTGTATATATTTAGAGTCAAATCATCAAATTTGCATGATAAATTATATGGTCCCAGTAATCATAAGACTCTGATAATATTTTAGAGGTGTGTGTTAAGTTTGACTGTAAACTTCTTAGTGACTAGAGTTCCTCAATGTGACATTATTTGCATTTTAGGTCAGACAATACTATATTTTACAAGATATGCTTTATGAGGCAGATTTATTAGCATTCTTAACCTCCACTCACTAAATGACAGAATTATTCCCAGCCTCATTATTGCAAAACCCAGGAAGGACAGTATAACCAATGGTTAAGCAAAAAAGGAATTAATTATTAGTTATAATTAATAGTGTCTCCTTGCCAGCTATGAAAGAATTAAAATGATGGCTTTTTCAGATTTGAACTCAAACACAACCTAAAATATAGTTTGTTTGTTTGTTTTTAATACATACCAGCTATTCAATAGGAACACAGTTTCTCCAGGCTACTTCTTATAGCACAAGTCAAAGTCCTAATACCAAAGCACAAATTAGTAAAAGTAAATGAATTCGAAGTTTAAAAAAACGATCTCTGATTAGTCAGTTCTTTTATGTTGTGACCTGTTTCAGGTATCAATTCTAGAATACCTTGAGTGGGCAGTTTCCAAAAATTTTTAAATATTAATTTTTAATGATAGTAATAGAGAGCCATCCAAAAAAGGTT